TGACAAGATATCATTCAAAAATATCATGTGGTTTTCTTACTCCAAAGTCACTAATAATCTATTCCTACTTGCTTTTTAACAGTATACACACATACAAATCTACAGTAAGGTTTGATCAGCAAATGTCTTCCATAAACAAGTCTTTAAGTTTCCATTTATATACTGAAAAAAACTTTTTTACTTTCATTCTCTTTTGTACAAGAGAATGTTGCAAAAATTCTCAGCCTAAATGTAAAGGGATTCCTTAAAATTTTAAGGTTCAGTCATTTGGTTAAACATTGGAAAGTCAAGAACTTCTCAATTCCCACCTCCAATTTCTGATCAACTTACTCTCATACAGAAACAAGTAATCAATTTTCTTAACACAAGATTAGAGAGCTCATTGGAGTTTTTAAATAAAAGCAATATAACTCAAACTAACTTCACTAATTTCTGTTTCTCTCTCTCTTCTTTCAATAGTTTCTTCATCATCTGTTTCACTCTGATCCAGGTTCAAAGTCATCTGCAATTGAAAAAAAAAAAAAAAAATATATTTTTTTTTACAATATCAATATTCATTTACTTAATTTGACATGTCATTTAATACATATTTAATATATTGACAAAATGTTCCTATCTTTCTAAAAACATTACCAGACCTTGCGATAAACTAAGAGTTGAACATATGATAAAAACTCATTTAGAGCAAATAACCTTTGCCTTACATAGATATTGTGTTACACTGTGCTGGCAATGACCTGGTAAATATCTAGCACGAAACAACTAGTAAAAATCTCCATACACACAAAATAAAGTATTGATAAAACCAACACAAAGCACCATCAAGCTAAGGAAATACAGACTGAGAAGAAAACAAAAATAAAAAACAAAGACAGTAGGCAATAAAAGACAACTTGTACTGTATCTGGCCAAGCAAGACAGAAAAGAAAACAAAAAGAAAAGTATATGGGAAAGGTATCTAAATTCAGACTGAGAACTCATGGAGAAGCTACTTTTTGAGGAATTAATGTATAAGAATCCTTTTAATTTTTTGAGAAAATTGAAAAGCCTTCTGGGGAAAGGTATGAAAAAATAAAGATTTTTAAATTTAAAAACTCAAAAAAATAAAACAAAAATCTAGAAAGCAGTCTGTTAAATTAAGCTTTTCACTATTAACTTTGGGAAAAAAGGTATTTCATTTTTGAAGTTCTATAAATGTCAAAAATAATGATCAAGTTTCAAAATTCAAAAATTGTTATCCGAAAACCATATATATATACTATATTTTTCTTTATTTATCGTATATATATATATATATATATATATTTATATATAGAAATAAAATATGGAACTAAAATTTTTAATTGACCTTTGTTAATTTAAGAAATTAGGTGAAATTTTTTTAAATAACTGGTATTAGATCTTAGGTCCTAAACCCTTATCAAATAGATTCACAGTGTAGATAAATTGCAATTACCCCATAGTTCTGTTTTCATAAAAATTTCATTTTTTCTCAAAAATTTTTTTAATAAATACCTTTAAAATCCTTTTTTAAATTATATATATATATATATATATTTATATATATTTATTTAAATTTTAGTTTAGCGTTTTTTCATCTATGTTTGAATAAATTTTATTTTTTTGTTGTTGTTTTTTTTGTTTAAAATGATTTTTGATTTATTTCCTTTTTAATTCTGTATCTTAATCTCTACAAAACTTATTTAATAATGTATAAATTTCGATAATGCAAAACTAAATATTTATTTTTCTAAAAATAATTTATTTTATAAATGTCAAAATTGACAAATTTTAAAAGGCACCAATATAATGATTTAGGTTCTGATTTATTGTAGTATTTATAGCCAAATGTTTCCATTAAAATAAAAGATGACTAAATTTTAGATAACAAAGATAAATATTTAAATTTTGAATATGAAAATTTGTAAATAAAAATGAAATAAATAAATGGGAATGTGAAATTTCATCAAATACCATTAAATTTTGTGTATGTCCCTGTGATGAATCGTACTTCACACTTTGAAATGGTTAATGTATTTTGTAAATAAAAATATATAGGGCCAGGAAGATATATTATAAAAAATAGAACAATAAATTTAAAAAAATGACAAAAGAAATCTCCCTTTTCAAAAACTTTCTATTCAATTATTGAAAAAAAAATATATTGACAATATAAATATTGTGCCCTTATATATTATTTAATGAAAGATATTTTAGATAATTTAGAAAACTCATTTTTGATAAAAAACGAAATCGTTTTTGTTAAATACTTGAAAATATAAATATATAAAAAAATTAAAATTTTAAAAGAAAAAACCTATTTTAAAAATGTCTATATATAAAAAAAATCTGAAGAAGTTGTTTTACAAAAAAATCTTAAATTAATTGTTTTAATCTTCAAAATAAATATTCATATTATTATTTTTTCAATACATAAAATTTTTTCAAAAAATCTACAAAAATTTCATCAATCCTCACAGTTTAAACAGGTGATCTTAACTATTACTGAAAAAATTCTTATACAGTCCAAAGTATAGACCATGGCTTCCAATTAATTGCTGGATATTGAAATCCATTGTCTATATATGGGTAAAAATAAAAAGTTATGGTTAAAATCTTGGGAAAAGTTTAAATAAAAGATTCAAGAAAAATGTGTTAATTTAGTCCTGGAAATGGGGCAAAAAATTTGGAAATTTTTTTAAATAAAAATTTAAAATATGAATGAAGCTAAATAAATAGCAATATGTTTTAGCAATATTCGCATTAATATCAGATTTAATTTTGATCTGATAACCAATTAGATTTTTGAATAGACCATATACAAATTTAAGTACAAAATTTATCAGCCCACAAATGACTCATCTTTTTCACTCCCTAATAGTTTATTTTAAATATTTTAAAATCTTTTCAAAGAATGTCACAGTGTGAAACTGCTTGAAATTTAATTGGAAGAATCCAACTATATATTTTTGAAGTAAATTTCAAAACTCCTCATTTCTCAATATTTTATGACAATGAAATTCTTGACATGTGTGGGGATTTTAACTATATATATATAAGAAATAATTAGTTATATAAAATTTTATATATATGTTTATATAAAATTTTTTCAAAAAATAATTGAAATGAAATGATCATCAACAAATTTTTTTAAATTATTTATAATTAAAAATTTTTAATGAAAATCTGCTTTTGCATTCCAATATTATTTTTCTCTTATTTTTATTTATTTCGGTAAATGATTGTTATATAAAAATTTGATTTCTTATTGAAAAAAAACTGTTTTAAAATCATGTGATAGAAATTTTTCTTCTATTCTAATAACATTTTTTGATAAATTTAGATTGATCATTTTTAGATAAAAAACAAATTGTTGTTTAGTTCTATCCCACATAAATATGTTTATTATTTAATTATAAACTTATAATTATTCAATATATAGTGGTATGTATCTGGCAAAATTAATTTTTTTGCCCGGATTATTTTCTAATGTCTTTAAAACTTTCTATATCTTATTCTGGGCATTCAAAAAATATTTATATATTCTGGTTTTTCAATATCTATCTAGAAAATCTATTTTAAGAAAAAATTCTTAGTCCAAAAAATCATTTTTATAAAAATTTCTAAGGAAATAAATTTAAATTGTATGTTTTTTCTTCTTTAAATTTTTTTGAAAAATTCCCCTTTTTATCATACAAATTTTTTTTTGAAAAATATTATATTTCAATTCAGGTTTTCTTTCTTGATTTCTAAAAAGTCAACAATTTTGTAGATGAATTTTATCAATTCAATCCAACATTTTTGATTTCATTGGAAGCCTGTTTATTTCAATTTTTTTTATTCAAATCTATCTTTTCATTTTTATTTCTCTTTTCTATTTTTTTCATGATGATTAATTTTTTTTTTGATTCATTATTAGCCTTCGTTCAATTTTTCTTAATCAATTTCTGTTATTAAGAATATTACAATTCCATTCAAAATCAGAATCGTATTTTTTCAAATATTTCATTTCCAGAAAAATCCCTTATTTAAAAAATTAAAAAATATCATTTTCTAAAATATGAATAAATGAAAATTTCGAAAAATAACTTATAAGTCAGTTAACTTATATAAAATTTGACACTTAAAAATGGTTTATGAAAAAAAAAATTTTTTTATTCAGCCAGTGTTTATAGATATATTTAAAAGGGAAAAAAATATAAGATTTAAGAAAAAAATAAAAAAAGATGTTAGTAAGCCTCCCTGTCCAATTTCTAAAATAAGAGTCAGTATTTTCTGACAAAATCAAGAGGCTCTTCTAAGGAAGGGAGCAGATAAAAAAGAATATGGTCATTAGAAAATTCAAAATCTGACCCAGTCGAGATGAAAAAATTTTTGGATTTGATTGATTTCAAAGAAGAATAAAGGAAATTAAAAGAAATGCAAAATCCGTTTAAAGGATAAATTTGTAATGAATTGAGTTTTAAAATTGATAACGTTTTTTTTGTTTTTTTAAACACGTGAACGTAATATTGCTTCCCATTTCTAACTTGAACATTCTAGCGCAACATGAATATGAAATATCATTTTCTTCCTGAGAATTTCAGGTGGTTAACATATTTAGACTGCCTTAATTTCGAATGTAATCATTGTTTACAGTTTGTTTGACTTTACAATTTGTTTATTTTTGCTATTTTCATGTAATTCTTCGTACTCAACTGCAATTTTATTTTATTTTCATTTTTCTTTTTTTTTTTACAATCTGTGTATCCTTAAAAATGCTTTACAGGTGGCATTTTAAAATATTGTAAGTTTTTTTTTTTTTAAATTACAGGTTGAGCTCTTAAAACTTTAATAACAAAAAAATATAAATGAAGTTATCTCCTTGCATATCTTTAACAGTTAATTTTAAATTACTTATAAAGGAGTGCATTTCATGCGCATTTACAAAAAAAATTTACAACTATAAACATTAATTTTTTGACAGAAAGATGAAATGAGTGTAAGAAGGAGACTGAAAATTACATTGGAAAAGAAAAGAATGAAGAACTAGAAGATATTAACCAGTTTAAGAAGATGGAAAGGACCTGAATAAAAAAAAAATAAAAAGAAATAAACAAATAGTTTAGAGGCAAAAAGAAGAAGGAAGAGGAAGAAGAAGAAAGAGACGAAAAGAAGAAGATGAAGGGGGTTGAAGAAGATGGAAGAAGTGTGTGTGTGAAGAAGAAGAAGACAGAGAGAAGAAGAAGATCATTTAGGTGAAGAAGAAGATGGAAGAGGTGAAGAAGAAAATCGGGAAGAGGTCCGTCCGAAGAAGAAGAAGAAATTAGAAGGAAGAAGATGAAGAAGAAGAAGAAGAGGTGAAGAAGAAGATGGAAGAGAAGAAGAAGAAGAAGATGGAAGAGGAAGAAGAAGAAGATGTCTAGAGATGAAGAAGAGATGGGCGAGGTGAAGAAGAAGCAGAAGAAGAAGAAGAAGAAGGAAGAAGAAGGAAGAGGTGAAGAAGAAGAAGAGTTTTTCGCCGTGAAGAAGAAAAGAAGAGGTGAAGAAGAAGAAGAAGATGAAGACGTCTCGAGAAGAGAAGAAGAAGAAGAAGTGAAGAAGAAGAAGGAAGAAGAAGAAAGAAGAAGAAGAAGAAGATGGAAGAGGTGAAGAAGAAAAGAAGAAGAAGAGGAAGAAGAAGAAGAAAGAAAATGGAAGAGTTGAAGAAAAGAAAAGAAGGAAGAGAGAAAAAGAAGAAGATGAAGAAGAAGATGGAAGAAGAAGAAGATGGAAGAGGTGAAGAAGAAGAAGAAGATGGAAGAGGTGAAGAAGAAGAAGGAATATTTTTCAGAAGAAGGAAGAAGAAGAAAGAGAAGATCTGAGAAGGAAGAGAAAAAATTGAAGAAGAAGGAAATTGTTAGAAGAAGAAAGAGTGAAAGAAGAAGAAGATAGAAGAAGAAGAAGAGGTGAAGAAGGAAGATGGAAGAAGTGTTAGAAATAGAAGAAGATATTGTCCAGAAGAAGAACTTTTTAAGAAGAAATAGAGGAAGAAGAAGAAGAAGATTGAGAAAGAAAAAAGAAAAGAGAAGATATTGAAGAATGAATATATAATCTTTGATGGTAGAGGTGAAGAAGAAGAAGAAGAAGAAGAAGAAGAAGAAGAAGGAAGAAGAAGAAGAAGAAGAATTGATGTGAAGGAATTTGTTTTTACATTTTCTTGTGACTGGGATGGAAGAATTTAAGAAGAAGGATGGAAGAAGTTTAGAAGAAGAATAAGAGGTAATTAAAAAGAAGGAAGAAAAAAAATTTTTCTTCAGAGGATTGCGTTTTATATTGAGATGAAGAAGAAGATGGAAGGGTGAAGAAGATATTCAGATGGAAGAGGTGAAGAAAAGAAGGAAGAAAAGAAGAAAGAATAAGAAGAAGGAAGAAAATTGAAGAAGAAGGAAGAGGTGAAGAAGAAGATTTAGAGGTGAAGAAGAAGAAGGAAGAGGTGAAGAAGAAAAGAAGATGGAAGAAAAATAAGAAGAAGAAGGAAAGAAACGTTCCAAGAAGAAGGAAGGTGTAAAGAAGGAAGAAAAGAAGTAGAAAAGAAGAAGATGGAAACAAAGGTGGAAAAGAAGAAGATGAAGAGGGGAAGAAGAAAAAGGAGAATAAGAATAAGAATATGAAGGAAGAGAAGAAGAAGAAGATGGAAGAATAGGAGGAGAAGAAAAAAGAACAAGAGGAGAAGGATGAAGAGAAGACGGAGAATGAAGATTTTTAATTTTAAATCGTAGAGTAGACAGCGCGAAACTACTCCAAGATCTTTCCCAAGTAGTCACAGCAATTTACATATATTATGTATTATATATATATTTAAGTGATTTCAGTTACTAGTGCGTTTGTATTGCGTTTTCTTTTTTATAATTTACTATGAATTGACTTCGTAATATTTTAGCCAACCTTTGAATAAATTATGGCAACAGAGGTTTTAAGAATCATGATAGCCGAGAAGTATGTTTGTGAGACACGACATTATGAAAAAGAGGCTGTCCGTAATTAAAATATTTATTGTCAAATTGTTTGGTGGAGGAAGTCTATTTAAAATAATAAATATTCCAAGAGCCTAATTCTTTATTTCAGAACTCTTTTCGTTGGCTAATTTTCGTGATCTCTATGAAATATTAATGATGTATTTTCTTCAAAGAATCCGTTTGATTAAAAAACCAGAAATTGATTTATAAAATAGATTTGCCGATTACTCGATACGTTTTAACTTGATTTCTCGTTATATATATATATATATATATATATATATATATATATATATATATATATATATATATAACGTGAAATAAAAAATGTGTGTGTGTGCGTATGTATGTGGGCCATTAATTTCAGCGCTGAAAGATCAGTCAATGATTCTTGCGTATTTCATGACTTTTTTTTTCCTGATTCCAGTTTCTTTATTTGTTGTTGTTTTATACTCAGCAAATCTTTGGCTTCCCGAAATGACGGAAGACGAATGAAACTTGTCAGGAACAAGAAATAAGATAAAATAGAAATTAAGAGATGAAGACAAATGCACAAAATGCTTGGTTTAAACACGGCCTCAAGAAAATTCGCCTGATATCAATTTAAAATAGAGTCTGTATAAAATAAATTAAATTACGTATCGATTCTTAATTTACAGTTGGAAATCCATTAGACTGATAAACAACTGTAGTTCATTTTTTTGTTTCTTAAGTGATTTCAGTTACTAGTGCGTCTGTATTGCGTTTTTTCTTTATAATTTACTATGAATTGACTTTGTGATATTTTAGCCAACCTTTGAATAAAATGATATATAAGAACAGAACTGTTCATCACGTTGCAGAAAAAATGTACCAGGCAAGCAGCAATATAAATAAACAAAATATTAACCTTTTTGAAAACCATGATTTTTGCTAGATACAATTCCTACTATTTTATCCAGATCTTACGTTTCCAAAGTGTATATCCACGTAACTGAATGTAACAAACAAGTCAGATGTTCGAACTCAAGTCTTTAATATTGTACCACGAGACACTATCTGTTACACAAGACACATATCCTATAACATTCAAAGCAAATTTGTAAATTCCAAATGACATATCATGCAGATTATACAAAGTTTAATTATATGTGATGTTGCTTATTATACCAACTAGGATGAAAAAATGAAAACCCCTCTGGAAGTCACCGTATTTCAGAATATTGGATCCATTTATACATTAAAAAACTTGGGAACTATTAAAAAAATCCATGTTGTTAAAACCTCGGAGAGCAGGAAAGATCAATTGTTTGGATTGAGCTTCAATTTTAATAGATCCGAGCATTTTAACTGCATGGATCGTTTTTAATAGTTCCACGTGGTCAGGTTTATGATGGGGGTCGAAAATGGAGTAATGTTGTCATATTTGGACAGGCGCTGCCCAGTACTCACTTTCCAGTCTAAACAGAGATTAAAAGGGTCTCCGAATCCTCGTGTTTATCGAATTATTATCCACCTTTTAACGCCTAACTTACAGGCGGGTGTTGGTGATTCCCCCATTGCCCTATCGATACTTCCATGACATGTGCTCGGACGAACTCCATTCCTTGTTTCCGCCAGATTTAAACTTCACTGTTAAGATCCGTCATACCACATTTCTGTCACTATAAACTTAACGTAACCCTCTATATAGAATGGGTCTGGTGCCTTGTTCAGGGTGAAACATACTATAAAAAAAAAAAAATAAAAAAATATATATACCGGGTGTAACTGCAAGATTGTCCACATCGTGTAAAAGAAAATTGTCCAATTATTAGATTTAAATCGTTATATCTTAGAAATGATTAAAGTTATCTTACTGGAATTTTCGGAGGTTTTGTAACGCTACTAGACTACTTTGAGCAATAGGAATGTATAATTACTCTCCAAGATTAACAGAAGGAAACGAAATGACATGATCTTTATTAATTAATCATAACGAAGTTTCATCAGCACGTGAAGAATTGAGATAAAATTCATTATATATATATATATATATATATATATATATATATATATATATATATATATATATATATATTCCAGGATCATTTTCCAACTTATGATGATCTTCAGCCTCTAACCTTTCGTCCTGGAGTAACAAGCTGCCTCACGTTTCACGTACAATTTAATTTTCAAGTCTTTTTTTCACTGTTCGTTGGACTGCTTTAGCTGAAACTCCTTTCTCACGTTCAAAAATGTCTCATGGATTGAGTTAGATAATTTCTGATTAATCTGTTTAGCTCTAATTTGAAATTCTAACTCCTCTTGCTATTGTGCCCTTCTGGTCCAATAAACTTTTCTACTGTTCCCTCTTCTTTACACTTACCGTTCTCTTGAAGATTCGTGAATGAACTGTGAAGATGGAAGCCAGAATCAGAATACATTGTGCCATTACTGAACACCCGGATGATCTTTCTTCCTCTCACCATTGCTCACTTGGGGGTCAGTTGGGCAGAGAGGAAACGATTTATCCTGTTCTCTTTTTAGCTGAATAACTCAAAGTGTTTTTCTGTAATTCTTAAGAAAATGGTGTCAAGATTGCTAAACGAAAATAGACATGATCATTATTAATTAATCATAAGATAAGATAAGAATATAAAAACCTACAAAAAGGGACTGAATCTTCTACATCTTCAGTTTTTAGAAACATGATCATGATTGAAATGATCTCCCAGGAGTGTATCGCGTATTATACTTGATTGATTCATGATTTTTCAGCATATTACTAAATTTGCGACACTGCTAATTTGCGGCATTAAGACACGGCGATCATCCAAATAAGTGACACATCAAACACATCGATACAAAACACTGTTTATCAATGAACAGTCATATCCAACATAATCAAAGAATTCTGAGTTGTTTAAAAATTCGACGTCTGTACACACCACACTATATATATATATATATATATATATATAT